GTGGTACTGCAAATCAGTAGGGAAGGGACAGTATTTTCAATAAATGATGCTGGGATAGCTGATTTCCATATGGGAAAAAAATGGAACTGGATGCCTACCTCACATTATAGAAGATAATATAATATACAAAAATGTCCTTAGGGTAGAGAAAGTTTTCTAAGACACAAACAACACAAGCCGTAAGGAAAAGACTGATAAATTCATGTACATTAAAAACTTCTATTCATTGAGACACCGTGGGAGGAGGGAGAACCAAGGTAAAACTGGAAGAGGATGAGAAAGAATTAGCAGTTAGAATGTATAAAGAATGTCTATGTATCAATAGGGAAAAAGACGAATGAATGATCCAACAGAAAAAAGTAATAAGATTGAATAGGCACTTTTCAGAAAATGAAACTTGAATAGTCAAATATTTGAAAAGATGCTCAACCACACTAGTAATGAAGGAAATAAAAACAATGACAAACTTGATTAGCAAGCCATAAAACATCATCTTGAAAAAATTAAATGTTGGTAAGAATGGAATTCTTAACCACAGCTGGTTAGTGTATAAATTGGTACAACCTTTGTGGAAAATCACCTTTGCTTTATTAATGTAGTCACACCCTAAAACTCAGCAATTCCGTTTCTACACATTTCTAGACATCCTAGGGCACTGGTTCTCAACCTGAGGTGATTTTGCCCTGTAAGGGACATTTGGCAATGTGTAGAGACATTTTTGGTTGTCACAACTGGTGGTGCTATTGACATCTAATGGACCAAGAGTCCAGGGATGCTGTTAAACATCCTAAAAAGGACAGGAAAGCTTCCCACGACAATGAATTATTCAGCCCAAAACGTCAACAGTCCCAAGGTTGAGAGACCCTACTCAAGAGAAATAATTTTTATAACTATAACCTGTGTACTATAACTGGTTCTAGTTCATTTCCCTGCCAACCAGGATCCCTTTGGTCCATCCTTTACAATTAAATGCAAGTTGTTTTCCTTAAAAGTAGAAAAATAATGCATGTCAACTATTGGCTTAAAGACCTCGACTAGCATCACACTGCCTACGGTGGTCACTTTCAACTTTTATTGGCCTAAAAACCACATAAAGAACAAAAAAATTCACATGCCCTGACTCCATCCCCAGAAAACCTGACTCAGGAAGTCAGAGGAGGCATCTAATAATTTATTTTCTATTTATCACACAAGTGACTGTAATGCAAGTTGTTCAGGGACCAATCTTTAACAATGATCTATAGGTTTAATGGGTTTAAACAAGTAACAGTGTTACACAAGGGTCTTAAGAAACAGGTCCCAACTTTCTTTGCTAGCTTCATTTTTCTCCATCTCATACTCAGGAGTTTCTAATTCTTACAACCTTTTTCTACTCTACCAACCCTTTAAGAATTTGTTCTCTCTGCATGGTATGTTGTCTCTAATCCCTTTCCTTTTTTACCTGGCAAACTCCTATTCACCCTTTAAGATCCAGCTCAAAATAGACCCTTTGTGAATCCTTTCCTGAATACCTGAAGCAGTTAGTTACTTCCTCTTCTGTTGCACAACACTCTGGCCATACTTCAGTCAGTGCATTTACTACAGGTAAATTATCTGTTTACATGTGTATCTTACCCACTGGACACTTCTGAATCCTTGCACCCAGTAGGCTCTTTGTACAATTAATCAAAAGAGAGTTGAGAAGAAATTTAGGAGTGTGTGAACATATTAATCTACTGCTACTACATGCCCTTATCTTGAAAGCCCCAAACCCCTGGTTCTATATAACTTTTTATCTTGGACATACAAGATAGATTTTATTCACTAACAGCCAAGACAGTGAGGGGAGGTATAACATTTAAGCTTCCCTTAATCATAAACTCTACAAAGAATCCCTGCAAAAACCTATCACGTTTATCGCTGTTTTACAACACTTAACCTCATGTTGCAGCTGAGAAGATGTACTTGTAGAGGTAATTTCACAATGAATTAAACAACTGAAAACCAGAATTGTAAGCTCTTACTTCACTACTAGGTCAATACCTTCAACAATTCAACTGGGATCAAAGTTCGATTTCTCAGCTTTATTTCTGGAGAATGGCAGAGAGGACCCCACAAAACCCAGAAAATATGTACAGTATAGCCTCCTCCTAATTTTTATAATCCCGGTAATAAAAAGAAATAAATTGAGATAGTCCCAAATCCAAAATTATACATTTTCTTTCAAATTTTTTAAAAAAATCTTAAAATGTCTTAGAGAATCAAATTTGACATAATTTTTTAGATGCTGGATTGGGTAAAGTTACCCTACAGACAACATTCAAAGGTCCCTGCTGTAACTGTATATTGACTAATAGCATTCAGTGCTGTCTCCCTTGTTTACACCAGACATTTGCAGACAGCCTGCTCTCACACCAGTGGGGACACACCCTGTAACACTGGATAAGAAACACTATCAGAACATTTTAGGCTATGATGACACATCCAATTTGCTTAAGTCTAAAAGAAACAGAGGACCCATTAACTACCATGGGTTTGGCTCCCCAAAGAATTTTCTTCAGTGGTTTTGATGGTGGTTACACTGGGGTTCACAGAACTGACATTTGATGTCCGAGAGCTCTGAAAGACAGGTGTCTTGCCCTTTTCTTTTTTGATTTCTACCCTTCCAGTAGGCTCCTTCTGTGAACTATTAAGAAAATCAAATAGCAGCTCATCATCAGGTTCTGATTTTTTTCTTCGCACAAACTGGGATGAAGGCCTAGGAACAGATGCATTTTCAACAGGATGGGAGGCTTCCACTGGTGTCCTAGATCCTACTTTTACATTTGCAGTGCCGGCTAAGATGGTGGCTTTTTGATTTCGAATGTTATCAGCTGCTGAGGAAATGTAAGTGGCTTTAGGTCCAGTCTGATAAGTCAAATCTGTATTTTGCTGGTGAAGTTCAGGATAGTCCGCATTTTTGCTATATTTGATGTTGCTAGTGTTCTCTTTTCTATTGAGAGCCGTTGCAGCCCCTTGATCAACTCGGTTTAAAAGATCTTCTGCCTTTCCAGCAAGATCAGCAAACCAAGACATGATGGCAGCAAAACAATCCTATCGATGAACCTGTAAAAAGGACATAAAATGATCAGTGTGGCATAACAGCAGAGTACAACAATTAAGACAAGATTCTGGAGTCAGATATCCTGGGTTGAAATCCTGACCCTACCTCTTACTAGCTAAGTAAACTTGAGCAAACTACTTAAGTGAAGCTGAGAAAGCTTATCTTATAGAATGGTTTTAAGATGAAATATTTTTTAAAACTTTGCAAAATGCTTGGCACATAATAAGCACTAATTTTAATTGCTGCTACTACAACTACCACTGTTTTTATTATTATTATTTCAATGAAGGGCAAATCTTAATGTAGCAAAAGCAGCTGGTATGGGCTAAAATGTATCCCCTCAAAATTCCTATGTTAAAGTCCTAACCCCCAAACCTTACAATGTGACTGTTTTTGGAGACAGGGTCTCTAAAGAGGTAATTAAGATGAGTCATTAGGGTGGGCCCTAATCCAACATGACTGGTATCCTCACAAGAGGAGGAAATTTCCACACAGACATACACGGAGAAGATGTAACGACAGAGGGAGAAGGCAGCCATCTGAAAGCCAAAGAAAGAGGCCTCAGAAAAAAATCACCTCTGCCAACACCACTTTGATCTCAGAGTTCTAGCCATTAGAATTGTGAGAAAATAAATTTCTGTGGTCCAAGCCAACGAGTCTGTGGTACTTTGTTACAGGAGTCCTAGCAAATTAATACAGCATCCAAATAGCGAATAATTACTATGGCAAATTCCAGTACAACCAAATAAAAATAATTCATTCAAGTTTGTTTTAAGGTGCCAAAACTTGAAAACAACTTTTCCTTCTGATAAATACAAAAGTTATCTTAATGTTAAACTGCAGCACTATTATGGATAATATTAGGTGTGCACACACATAATTTGTCTAAAGTACATTTTCAATAATTCAAATACTCAATATATACCATGTGTACATTAAGCTAAGTTCAGAATAAAAAATGATTGCATTACCACTTGTTCCATACATATATTTGAGTACTTACTGTGTGCCACAACAAACCAAAGTAATGAGGTTATTAATCCTCATGATATTAAAGAGCACTACAAAAAAGTCAACAACCATTTATTGAATGTGCACATAATTCCCTTTGCCAAGAACTCTTTCATGGTTAATCTTCTTGTTCTTCGTTTTTACTTGAATGTCATCTGCTTCAGAGTTCTCCTTTCCATCAAAGGTTAATCATTCTGTGTACATACCCTGTTCTTTTGCCTCACAGCCCTTCGTGCTTTATAATTTTTTTTTTTAAATCTCTCTCTCCTTTTTGGGGAGGGAGGGAGAGTGGTTGGATAATGGCCATGTCTTTTGCTCTCCAGTGAATTCCCAGTGTCCAGCAAACAGTAGGCACTCATAAATACTGAATGGAATTGATTTTTATGCACCAGATGCTGTGCATATGTACACATGTATCTCTACCACATGTAATTTTCACAACGACGTTATGCGGTAAGTAGGAATACCTTTTTTTTTTCTTTAACAAATGTGGAAAAGGTTTAGAAAGATCCCAGAGTTTAGATGGCCGCTCAGATACTCAAATCTAAGTGAGCCTAGTGCCAAACCCACCTTTTAACCTTCACCTCCCCACATCTAGCCTCTTAAAATCGAAATAACTTCAAGAAACTCACCCTTTAAACCTGTTCTTTACAAAAATGTGGCTATTACGCGCCTGTGTGTCTCAGAGTCTATGCAAAAATCAAATGAAAATGGAGGTGAAATGCTTTGTAACATATAAAACTCCACATAGACGTAAAGTATTGTTCTCGAGTAAACACTGATGGTGACTGAGGGCAAATTATGTCACCTAATAAAACAATCAAAACAGTTCTTAATTTCTACCATTTTAAAGTTAATAGGGCTTTAAAAACAACAGCATGTACTTTAACGTTGATTACCAAACTAGACCAACACTAAGATGAGCCCTGGGCACTTGCCCCATTGACAAACAGCTCGATCAGACTTCAGAGGTGCAAAGCCCTCAAGTAATTCCTTTGGCACTGCCCGGAGGCAGAGAGTGCGCAGAATGGGGATGGGAAGGGTCTAGAGACTGCGGTCGCAGGGCCTGCTTCGAAGGCCAGGTGTGAGCAAAGGAAGGAGGCTGGAGGTTAGTGCGCCAGGCCCAGCCGGTGGATCCCAGGCAGGCGAGTACAGACGCCCACTCCGCTCCCCACCCACCTCGTTCGAGCCTCTGGGGCGGGATGAACGGCCAGCCCGAGCGGGGATCTGGGAGGAGGGAGGGAAGGGAAGGACAGTAAACAACGTCGAATGAAGGCCAAGGGGTCTCTCTCGCTCCCTTCCCCAGCCCCGAACAGGGCGAAGGTGAGCGCGACCCCAGAGGAGGGCGGGGTGACCAGCGTCTCCGCTGAAGGGACGACGTCCCCGATCCAGGACCGTTAGCACCCCCAAATGGACCCGTCTCGTCCAGTGGGCCCTCGCCTCCGCCTCACCTGAGGACTCCAGAGCGGCTGCACCGCGGCCCCCCAGCCGCTGGCCCGCAGCAGGGCCAGGCTGAGTAAACCTCCTCCCCGACTGGCCTAGGCCTTGCTGCCGCTTCCGGGAGACGTGGAAGGGAGGCGAGGACCCCAAAACAGAGTGTCTTCCGAGCTGCCTGAGCGGCGGGGAGCGAAGAACAGCACCTGTAGGCGACTCAGGCGGCGGCGCCGGCGGCTGCGGGGGCCTCGCACCTGGCCACGCCCGTCTTCCTTCCGCGGCGAGACCGGGCGTGAGACAGGGCCTGCGTGCGTGTGACGTGACTCGCCTCCCGCGGAGGACGGCCTGCGTGCGGCCACGACAACACCGGAGGCCCCGCCCACAAAGGGGTGGGGCCTCGCTTCAGGCTACGTGGGTGACGGAGGCCGTGGCCTGCCTGGAAGGAATTTGAAGCCTGAGTTGGGCGGCTGTGAGACCCAGGTGGACCCGCTAGGCTTCACCTTGCTCCTTTCCCCACCACCTGCCCGCTAGTATTACGGATGAGAATGCAGAGGCCCACAGCAGCAGGTGGGAATACAGAAAAGATGGTCCCTAATTTCATGGAGCTTACTTTCTAGTGGCAGACAGTACATCAAGCGGTGAATGAATAAGATAATTTCATCAAGCGGTGAATGAATAAGATAATTTCAGAGCGTTACTAGAGCTGTAAAGACAAGACAACAGGGAGAGGTGCCAGGAAGCAGGGGAAGTACTTTAAATCAGATGGTCAGGGAAGGTCTCTCTGAGGAGGCGATTTTGAGCTGAGACCCAAAGGAGGGAAAAGGCCAATAAAGCGCTTACCAGATAGCAATATTGTGGTTATGTTATGCTCTCTGAATATTTGAAATGAGTCTCAATCCACATTCAGTAATTCAACAAATACTCAGCACATACTATGTTCACAGGATTGGCCTAATTTTGCTGTAATGACAAGCCTACAGCATAGTCCCCAAGTATCTTCATTTTCCAGTTGGGAAAACTAAGGTCAAAGAGATTAAGTAACTTATCTGCCCTAATAAAGAGTGCGCATTACTCCAAAGGCTGTGCCCCTTAGACTCGATGTTTTATTGTCTCCAAATTAAATATTGGGAGTCATTATAATGCCTGCTTTTCTTCCTCTCAAGTTAGATTTAGCCCAGTCCAGTGAAGAGAAAAACGTTCAGCAGCACCAGGGGGTAATAATAATAATAATAATAATAATGGCATCTAACATTTATTGCGCTCTTATTAAGTGCAGAATACTGTGTTAAGCATTGGAGTGCTTAACTTCATTTAATTCTCACAAAAACCCTAAGGAAGATGTGGTTATTCTCCTGTGGTAGGTGATATTGTTGTTTCCAGCTATTAAGTTTCTCTTCCAGGTAAGAATTATACATCATCACCTGTCGCCATGTGAGTGCAATTCATCCTATAGGAGGAATATTTTTTCTGGCCTCACTAATGTCAGACTTGATCATAAGACCTTCTTCTGGCCAATGAAATAGGAGCAGAAGTGTCTTTTCACCACATCTGAGCAGAAGCATTAGGAGCCATTATGTATTTCCACCTGCTGTCTCCGTCTTTTTCCTCTTTCTTGAGAATGGCCCCTCCCAGATGGGCCTGCTGCTTCAGCCTGGAAGGAAAAAGATAATGAAGCAACCCACATCTAAGATGTCAGATGAGTGAAAAATAAACCTTTGGCTCAGAAGCCACAGAGATTGAGGATTGTTTCTGACACAGCCTTACCTAATGAAATCTGACTAATACATTCCTCTGTTTTACAGATGAAGATACTGAGATTCAGTGAGGTTTGGTTACTTCCCCATGTTCACACAGGGAGTAAATAGAACATCTGGGATTCAAACTTAGATCAGTGTAACTCCAGAAACAATTTTTTTTCTTATATTTTTGTTGAGATGGGGGTCTCGATATGTCGCCCAGGCTGGTCTTGAATTCCTGGCCTCAAGTGATCCTCCCCTGCTGCCTCAGCTTCCCAAAGTGCTGGGATTGTAGGCGTGAGATACCAAGCCTGACCAAGAAAAACTATTAAACCTTAATAAGAAGAGTGGGAGTCTGTGACATCTTAGCCTGGAGAAATTCCCAAGTCCTCTCCTCCAGCTCCAGGGGGGAGTTGTGTCTGGGCTGGGTAAACTGTGAAAACCAGCAGGTTTGGTGCCGAAAGGGACTAACTTGATTAGGAGTGAAGCCAGAAAAGCACCATGGCCAAGGGGAAAGCTTAGTTGGGAATGCCAGCATCACAGTTGCCTGGGCTACAATACTGGTTGAACAGACAACTGAGTAGAAGGCCTTCTGGAAGTTTGGCAAGGAGATCCAGGTAATGAGATAGACATACTTTGGACTTTGGTAAGCTCCCACATACACTGGTGGTCTGGAAGGCTGTGTAAGCTCAGGAGAGTCTGGCAAATGCCCTCGTCATTTACTTATTCCTAGCTGAACATGAAGCCTTGCATAGATGCAGAGGAGACACAGGAAAATAAATCCAGGAAAGTCTTGCAGAAGTGCAAGGGAAATACAAGAAAACCCAGGAAAACAAAAGCCAGGACAGTCTTGTAAACTGTCTGAATTTTGAGTGTGTTCTCCAACCCATCTAAATGGCACAGATCCATCAAGAGAGGGTAGGAGTCTTACTGTCTTAAGACATTTATCACCACCTCTGACCTGTCATTGACTGAATGCTAAGCTATGTTGACCCTGGTGCAAACCTTAGGAAACCAGCCTTAGAAATAAACATAAAAGGGGAAAATAAACTGAGTGGAAATATCAGGGTCAACATACTGTAGCAGAGAAACTCTGCAGAATTAGTCCAGGCAGGTCACTAAACAAACAAATATACAAACAAAAACAACAAAAAACACCGTCCAGTGGCACATCAGAACACAGAGCTGCTACAAATTTCTTACCTAAAATGTCCAGTTTTTGACAAAAAATAAGACATGCAAATGAACAGAAAAATGTGGCCATACATGGGGGAGGAGGGAATCTATACAAATGCTCTGAGATGTTGGGCTTACCATATAAAGACTTTAAAGAAGCTATCGTAAATATGTATGTCCAAAGAACTAAATAAAAAATGTGACAATGATGGTTCTTCAAATAGAGAATATCAGCAAATAGATAGCAATTATAAAAATCAACAGAATTCTAAAGTTGAAAAGTACAATAAATAATAAATGAAAATTTCACTAGAGGGGCTCAGTGCAAATCTGATCTGGCAGAAGAAAGAATCGGGAAATTTGAAGATAGATCAGTAGACTTTTTCCAATCAATAGAAAGAAAAGAGAGTAAGGAAAGAAGAGATTCTTAGAGACCTGTGTGACATCATCAAGCAGGCCAGCATGTGTGTGATGGGAATCCCAGACAGAGAGAGGGATGAGGGAGGGGGGAATTTCAAAGAAAAAATGGCCAAAAACTTCTTGAATTCAATGAAAACAGTCTATACATCTAAAAGCTCAATGATCTCCAAATAGGATAAATACAAAGAGTTTTAACCTGGCACATAACAGTCAAGCTGTTGAAAGACAAAGAAAATCTTAAAAGCTGCAAGAGAAAAATGACTCATCACAGACAGGGGAAAAAAGAATAACAGCTGACTTCAGGTTAGGAACAGTGAAGACAGAAGGCAGCAGGATGACATATTTAAAGTGCTGAAGGGGGAAAAAGTCAACCAAGAATTCTATTTCCAGCAAAAATATTCTTAAAAAATGAAGGCAAGAGAGACGCATTCCCAGAAAACAGAGACTGAGAGAAAAAAGACAAGCAACCTAACAAGAATAGACAATATCTCAAGCACTTCACAAGAGAAAATATCTAATTGGCCAAAAGCACATGAAAATGTGTTCAACATTATTAATTATCAGAGAAATGTGAATTATAATCACAATGAAACACATTTGCACACCACCAGAATGGCAAAAACGTAACAAGATGGAAAATACCACTTACTGATGAGGACGTGGAGCCGCCGGAACAGGCACACTTTCCTGAGAGGAGTATATGCAGGTGATAGAACCGCTTTTGGGAAACTTAGGCTGTACCTGCTAAAGTCAAACACAGGCCTACTCCGTGACTCAGCGGAGGGCCACCTTACGAATCAGCAGGTCCACTCGGGAGAACTGAATGCACATATCCTGCAAAACACATGTACAGGGATGTTCAAAGCAGCTTTATTCATAATTGCCACAAACTAGAAATGACCCAGTGTCAATAAACTGGTAAATGGATACACAAATTGTGGAATAGTTGCACAGTGCAATACTTCACACCAACGAAAAACAAGAAACCACAACACCATAGATGAATCTCCCAGACATAATATTGAGTTACAAGAAGCCAGTCTGAAAAAAACTACTTTCCATTTATATGCAGATCAAGAACAGGCAAAGCTAATCTATGACTATAGAAGTTATGATATTAGTTACCGTTCCGAGGGGGGCAGATATTGACTAGGAGTGGTCAAGATGGGGGTCTCCAGGGTGCTGCTTCTGTTCTATATCGGGACTTTGGTGTTGATTTTCAGTGTGGATACATATGTTGAAGTTCGTCAGACTGTACAGTTAACATTTGTTTACTGCATGCACATTATACTTCAATTAAAACAATTTTTAAAAAATACACTCACAAAAAAACCAAAAACCAAACAATCAAAAAATAAAAAATACACCTACTCATTAAGAAGGAAGTTTCACTTTTAGGAAATTATCCTAAAGATATACTCACACATATGAGAAACTGGACAAATACAAAATTATTAATTACAGTGTTGCTTATAAGAGCAAATATTGGAAACATGTTAAACTTGTGCGTGGTATTAATACAGTCATCCAATCGAATATTATGTAGCTGTTTTTAAAAAACCAGAAGCTCTTATGCAGGGATATGAAAAGAGCTCTAAGATCTTAACAATGTATGTTAAGTTGGGGGGGGGGAAAGCAAAAAATGGCATATATAGTATGCTATCATTTGTGTAAAAATACCTTTTATGGGTAGAGTCGACCTCTTGAGGGATGCTCTGTTTCTATCTGGGCAGGAGAACTTGGCTGGGCAACAGAGGTGAGAGGGAGGTTTATTCTTCAATGTGTCCTCTTTTTTATGTACCCTTTGAACTCTGTACCATGAAAATCTTATTTTTCGAAAGCAAATAACATCAAAAATTTTTTTTAAACTTTGCATTCCCTAGGAGACAATGCACTCTCTGAGTCTTCACAGCC